TATATATATATATATATATATATATATATATATATATATATATATATATATATATATATATATATATATATATATATATAATTCAATTTATTTTGGTTGTATAGATATATAAAGTGCTCAATACTAAAAGTATAGCAGAGCTTATTAGATTGTCTATATCTTAAAATTAAATATCGCTACTCTGAGTTTCACGTCCGTTCTAGACGATCATCAGGCGATTTTGTTCACGATTTTGTTACTGATTACGTGATTGCATCATCATCAACCGTTCGCTGACGCGTTAACTTGTTTGTTCGCGCGCGTTCGAATTTCCCGGCGCTGAATTTTTCTCGAATTTTTCGCTGAATTATGTGATTTCATGATTTCTAATTTCTCTTCTATGCACAAATTACAACGCCTACCGCCAGGTGCATACGCTGCTGCTCATTTCAAAATGGACCACTTAATACTGTATTCCCTTTTCTTGTCCTTCAAATCCCATACGTATTTGGAAAGTTCTGCGTCAGACGAGTACGCAGAACTCCAAAGAACAAGAGAACAAGTTTGGAAGCGCCAGAGGAACTAATATATTATATATGTTCCTATATTTTTTAATATATATATATATATAATCAAAGGTAACTATAAATAAGAGTTACTTTCATCCTGCTCATCAGCACTACACTGATGAGGCCCATTAGGCCGAAACGGTACCGTTTGTAGTTATATATATATATATATATATATATATATATATATATATATATATATATATATATATATATATATATATATATATATATATGCCACACGATAATAAGGCCTAGTAAATGTCCAAAATGTATCTCTTTCCAAATTTCTGACTATGACTTGATATTTGACCTATCTATCACAGATTCCACACAGAACGCCCTCCCCTAATACCCCTAAGTAAATCGATCCGACTACTACACAAAATAATACTTCTTTCCCTCTGAGTTAACAATGAAAGCATATTTTTTACAGATTTGCCGAACAGACATTTTGCCGAACGGACGTTTTGCCGAACGGACGTTTTGCCGAACGGACAACTTGCCGAAAATAGAGATGTTATTTCATCAAAATGTTTGGGACTGTGACTCATTTCTCAACTGTGTAATTCTCAACCATTGTGTAAAATAACCATTATACTGTATGGTCATTAGCAGTGCATAATGAGTCATTAGCAGTGCATAACAGATCGTTAGCAGTGCATAACCATATTGACTGTTGGTAGCTTCTTTGTGCAGCAGATGACTCATTTGTTAGGACTGTGTTTTGACATCAGGTCGTAAACAAACAAGCGTATATAAAGACAACTACGTAAGCAAATTTCATTTTGAAAATCATGGAGTACATTTCCAGTTCTCGGGGAAATCGCAAATTGCTTTACGAAGGTTTTGTTTATGTTTTGGATAAGAAGAGGAAACATCTTACTGGAGATGCGAACGATGCAAGGAATGCTCTGGCAGACTCTCGACTCTGGTAGACACACTATGGCAGGAACCATCAGTGCATTCGCATCCTCCAGATCCATCTTGCGTGGCTGTCAAACGTGCAGTGTCAGCAATGATACATCGTGCTGAGAACTCTGAAGAATCTACCAGCAACATCATCCAGAACTGCACCCACGATTTCCCACTCGCCGCTGCAGGCAGTCTTCCCAAAAGAGAAACGCTAGCAAGAATGATTAGAAGTGAAAAGCTCCAGATGGCGATGATATCCCTGATGACATTTGCCAAACTACATGGGAAGAGTTCTTGGCTCTTCACGATGACAACCTAGAGATTTACGTCTTTGCAACAGATAAGAATATGGACGTATGTGCACGCCAAGGACATTGGTTGTGCGACAGAACTTTCTATAGCGCTGAATGGATACCAGCTGTACACTGTACATGTGATCGTCGATGGTTCCAAAACGGTGCCCGTCGTATACTGCATCACCAGAAGGAAAGACCAAAATACCATAATATTATATACAATAATAATATGTTGGAACACAGATCGAAATGTCCAGCTGCAATCAGGAAGAAGCAGTCACTAGGATTGTGGTTCATGTGAAGCATGCTTTGGAGAATGGAGCAAAATCCATCCAGGTGCAAACGGTGGACACAGACGTCGTCGTTGTTCTTGCCAGTGTGTTTCATGACCTCTCTCAGATAAATGCTGATCTTGATCTCTGGGTAGCATTTGGAACTGGAAAGAACTACACTCATTACAGCATCAACGCCATTTGTGCCCATCTTGGTGAATGTAAATCACGTTCCCTGCCCGTTTTCCACTCCTTGTCAGGTTGTGATGGTACATCAGCGTT